GCACGAATTACTTAATATTCAAAAATGATAAGGTCGGGTGAGTAAGGCAAGCACTGCAAAACTTCCCGATCAAAATCCACGATCTCTCGATATATGATCCTTCCCACATGCAGATATGGGTTAGAGTGGGTAGCACCGTATCTAGAATTTCTGCGTGAACGTGAAGCACGGCTTCGGCCAAGTTCCGAAGGTAGTTAAAGCCGACAATGGTCGTTACCGTGGTGCAGGTATCCAGCAGCTTTCTGTAGCGAATCAGTTTGCAACCTCATCAGAAACACTAAAAAGTCCTTCTTGACGAAGGCCTGCTTTTGTTCTGCGGGCAGCTTTCCTCCTTGTCGAATCCAGTAGTGCTTATGTGTATAGTTTACTCAAGGCTAGAGCTATCTTCATTAGCCATCATTTTTGTCAAGAGATTCCTTTGCCGCTAAAGAAGGAAAGAAATCTAAATTATGGTCAATGGTTCGCCTCTCCACTGGTGCAACTCATATGGTGACAAAAGCGAGCATACTGACCATAATTGAGATCGTGCAGATCCTCGTAACTGTAGAATGAATGCAAATAAGCGTGACTGTTAACCTACGACTGATAACAATCAGATGCGCCTCTAGAAAGTTGAGTAAACGCTTGTTAGTCATCAACTACTGCAGCTCCAGCTCCGTGCTCCCATTTTGAACAAAATATCTCCAGTTGCGAGGCAAAAATGTCAACGGGACATCGCCTAGTGGATGACATCCCTCCTGAATACAGCACAGATGCTAGCTGCGACGAGCAAACGGATGCTTTAGCCGAAAGGCGCGAGAAATAAATGATCACAATATGTGTGATTCAAGAGCGTCCTTCTTCCGAACCTCCAAAATAAACTGCAGAATTCAATGTCAAAACTGTTAGTTATTTTTTTTACTTGAAGAGTTTAATTTCTTTCCTAAAAAACTTTGTTCAAAGTGTTGCTGAATTTTCTGGACAACCCAATACATCTTTCCTAACTGGCTCTCTGAATACCAAAAATGAAGCGAAGAAAAATCACCATGAAAACTGTTGTTTTTACTGCTCCATTTTGGGGCATATCGTCCACAATGTTGACTCATGTCATATCAGAGGGTTCCCTCTCATCTGTACGTTGAAAAAAACGCGAACTTCGCACAAATTGATGCGTTTACCCAAGGTATGCGCTGAAGATAGTGCAATAGTTTCCTAAGGTTTCGGTGCCTGCAGTGTAAGTGACGGCAATGGCCTAGTGGATAACGCGATGGACTCTGGTTGGCACGGAGACGCGAGGGTTGTAGGTTCGGCTCCTTAGAGCGTACTGCTCTCATTCTGGCTGGCACCTCAGCATGAGTGCCAAGTTATGGTATCTCTACATTAAACTCCATATTCATGATTTGGGGTCACAAATAACCCCCTAGGATCAGTTTGTGAGAAACGTGGCACCATTGCGCGGCCTCAAAAAGGGTGCGCAATGTTCTGACAGGGTGCTGATGCCAACAGTTTTAGGAAAATCGAGTAATTTGACTTGTCGGAAATGAACCCCGTCTTAAAGACAAACCAACGATGTCCCCTAGACGGCCTTGAAGGCGAACTCGAGCGGAAATCAGAGGTTCTCTCGTTGATTGTCGGAAATCGACGTTTTCTCTCTATAGGAACATGCGTATACACTGTCTGCCGCACTTTAAGCCGAATCTTGTACCCGACAGAGACCTACGCCGATACAGGGATTAAATTTCAACGTCTTCTTATTTGCCGAGGAACCTATCGACCCAGTCATCGTAAGCGTGGTCTCGCCTCACCGGCTTGCGTGTCCGCCACTCTTCAGAGTGGGCGACGGACTTTTGGCTCGTCCGGTCTGGCACGCGGCAAATTGCGCGGCGAGCGGCGCGGCGATCCGGACGCATCGCGGGAACTCAACACGTCAACGTGTGAAGATTGCGGATAAAATCCTGCAAGGTTCTGCAATTCGAAATACGTCTGAACGCCTGGAATTTTGAGGACAGTGGTGGTTGTAACAGTAGAAAGAGATGAGAAGGAACTAGCATAGTGCTGTTCGGCAATCAGAGCGCTCATGTCGTTGGGGGCATGTTCCATTGGGGGGGGGGAGTGAGCCAATTACTGTGTTTGGAACCGAGCCTTAGGGAGGAGAAGGGATTCTGGGGTAATTTGTGTTCTCTCTGGCGTTCCTCCCCTCTGCTGGGAGTTCGTTTCGAATGTTTCTCCTTGGGACATGAACGCCTCGATCAGCAGAACATATATAGTTGACATTAAATACCTCAACAAAAACACCCAAATTTATTGACTCTTGTTTGCTTTGATGGTAGTAGTGACATTTCCATGAAGGTCCTCACTCATCCTTGCGCTGAAACCTCCTCACCGATACTGCTGCTTCCAATCTCCGCGAGCGGAAACATTTTCAAACAGCAGAACCATGCGGAGTTTATCCGCAATCTGCACACGCATTGACGTGTTGAATTCTACCCGAAGAACCCGCGAAGCCTTGTCCCGTCCAGATCGCCGCGCGTGCCGCCGCGCAACTCGCCGCGTGCCAGTCCGGACGAGCCAAAAGTCCCGCACCCCTTCATAGTAAAGGTCCGAATTTGTTATTTCGAGTGCGACTCTAGCTGACAAGGAAACTGCCTTCAAATCATCCACCGTCAGGCCTGACGGCTATTGACCTACTTATTCATGGTTCAACAGTCTAAATTTGGTCGAAAATTTGTTTTCTGTGAAATTTGAATTGAAATTTCGGTTATAAAGGTTATTTCAATGCCCTGATTACGGAAATGGTGCTATACAAGTGGGGTGGGCACGCCCAGCTTTTCACGCATGTCAAGTGACTGCCCTCACCCCCACCCCCTAGATTGGCTACACTCCCCCTGGCTCACGAATTCCCCGATTCTCGTGACAGTATAGTAGCGGGCAGCAGTCCCACTTACATACATTTCTGTTCAAAAAATGCGGCGTGCCCACCTACTTGTATAGCACCCGGAAATTGACATTCTTTGTTGGCGCGAACGTCATCTGCCACTATGGCACAAATTTGGTGTCAATTGGCCTTTGGTTCGTAATTCAATGACGCCTTGGTTGGACAAGAGTTACTTCTAAGAAATGGAAGCTTCTCATCATCGAGATTGACAATGCCCACGTCTGGCGCTCACGCTATTTTGGGCAAATTCTGAGATTCCTTCTCTAAATGCAAGAATTGTGCCACCACAAGGAATCGAACCATGGACCCCTTCATTATCCCCTTTTTTGATGTTCAGGAGGTCGGGTCGGTTTGACTTTCCGCTCGTCTTATCGACTAATGCTGCGCTTTCTTTATCTGTACATCCGCAGTCTTAGTGTTAATGTTGTTGTATATTCCCATCTGTTAGAGTCTCCGTTCTGCGGCGAGCCCACCTCTCAATTGTACAAATTTGCTACGAGATCCATCTGATCATTATTATTTGATGGAGTACATACCACTTGATTATAGGCAAAGCTTATTAATACTCATTTTCATTGCGTGTAACCCTGTGACAGGGTTTCAGTCTTCTGATACTGCTGTTCCACTGGACCGGTTAGCGTTTTAGAGGTTTAAAGGAGGAAGCTCCAAGCGTTAGCAAACTATTGCCAGCCCAAATGGTCCTTTCTCTTATTGTTTTTTTTATGATGGACACTACCCTCGGTCGTTGTTCTTTCAAGGAAAGGAAATAGGCAAAGAGAAGCGTGCCTATCTCTTCCCCCACACAGGGATGATGGCACGACATTGATCAATGCTATTGGTCTACTCAATGCCAATGCCGATTTACTGCCCCATCTAAAACCGATCATAGGACTGGAAAAGGCGAAAAATTGAAGAATTTGAAACACAGGGATCATATCCGTTGAGGGAGCGTCAGAGGCCGGAAGTGACAGGAATGCCCTCTGGAAGGAGAGAAAGAGACCATCAAGAAAGTTTTGGCCACATAATAGGAGTTCGGATGTTTTGTCGAGTGCGCTTAGTCCTCATGTCTCCAACAAACTCTACTGCTGTGAAAATCATGAAATGTCTGGATCCATAGTTATTCTTGGTATTACTGTGAATAATAGCTCTTATTTACCCAAAGAATCTCTTCCTTATCTGATCGCATTAGGAAAATCTTTTCAATTTCTCGATATTGAATGTGCACCGGTTAGCTTTTATCGTATGGGAAAGATCAACCCTAATCATCCACGCTTAGTCGAGGTCGACCTACCAGGCTTTCATTTTCAGAGGCAAATCTTAGCCAGTGCTCATTCGTAGGAGAACTTTTTTGAGGAATATTCATCCGACCGTTCCTTTTATTGTCTGGAAGACGTTTGAGAATACTTAGGAAGCTAAAGAAGTCTGAACCCCCCCCAAACTAAATGCCACGAATGCGTCACATCAGAAAATGTTCGCTCTCTGATCCTTATTCTTACCTAAATTTGTAACTGATCCATTGAAGACGCCTCCTCTTCTCCAATCACCTGGCCGCCAATAGTGCTATCCCAGTTTCTTCTGATCCCACAGTCGCTAACACTGCTTTTTCTATTCTTTGCATGCATCGAAATTTATTCCTCTCGGTATTTTAGTAAGAACATTGTTGCTATTTGTGTAAGCGTCAGATCTCTCGAAGGAATGGCATGCTCTCTCTAAAATTGCTTAGCAATGGACTGTGACATTACGAAGTGAACAAAGTGCGTTTCATCTGTGACACCAGATGAGATCCCCTTCGTGTTTTTCCTGTTCCATTTACTGTTTTTCTATTATGCTGCTCCCAGTAGCTGGCGTCATGCATATTTTTCAATCACCTACCTTGTTCAATTGTATCCTTATTTTCAATTCAATTCAATTGTATTCTTATTTTTGACTTGCCTTATTTGATCGCTGGTTTGATGTTAAAGTCATAATGTTGGCTTGAGACCTGAAGATTTACGGACTGGTAGACAGTCACTCCTCCAATACAGCAAGCAATACGAATTCCATAGTATTCCTCCCACTCCCACATGCTCCACTGTCTGTTCATAAAATGAGGATACTTCACCTTGCCGAGCCTAACCCAGACATCCAATACTACACTCATGATCGCGTCCTCGGCACCGCTGAAATGGTTAAAGATCTGGGATTTACTGTTGATCTAAAAGTAAGTTTGACGAGCATCTAAAAAACATTGTGTTCGAGGCTGAAAAAGTATTTCTCTTGTCCAAATCACTCAGAAGCAAAATCCTACTTTGTTTCACAAAAGTTACGTACGTTCTGCTTTGAAACACGGTATTTGCATTTATCCTCCTCACAATAAAACCCTTCCTAGTAGGCGTTAAAGAAAAGCCTGATACCTTCTAGAGGAAACTGTGCTCCTAAGAACGCTAGATTTACATACAGAGGAAGCCCGCATGGGATCATCACGAGTCAAAATAGCTTGACGCCTCTGCAAACTGAGGAGAATGACATACAAATGGTGCATAATATCCTCAATAGTCGTGTCGATCTCAACAAGCGCAACTTTTATAATCTAGCCCAATCTAAGACGAGGGGTGGTAGGTCAAGCTTACTTTTCGGCAACCGCGTTTTTCGTTTGGGCGCAGGTTCTTCACGTTCCGTACCTGAAAGTTAGAGAAAAAGTACAAACACCAAGGCTTCTTATTCGCATTCAGAAGCAAGGCATTCATTATCATTACCTGAATCCGCTCAATGACATACTATCGTGATTTCTTCATATGATTTTATTCGCCTATGTTAGCTGAGTTTTTTTCAACGTATATTTGTCCGAGGGGGGGGGGGGGGGGGGGGGGGGGGGGGGGGGGGGGGCGGCTGTATTATTACATCATGCTTAGCATTGTAACGCAGAGTAAAGAAAACGAGATTGCAGACACCGTGAAGTCGTTTGCGCCCTGCTGCATGCACCGCTGCGTCGCCAGTAGTAATCACATCAATTGCAGCAACGCGGACGAACCCTTTGTGCGTGCATTTCAGGCCCCCAGAAATACATAAGTTTGTCTTCATGGAAGCAGCTTGTATCGTCCACTGAACAAAAAGCTTTGAACTTCCAGCTTAATCCTAGGTTTGTACCTTCGAGGATTGATAACAAGAAAGAATGAAGACTGTATAAGACTTGGGCGTTCAGGCCAAAACTCGAGCTGTTTTCATTACACTCCTTACTTCTATCAGCTGCCCCTAGCGTCAAATAGGATTCTTCTCTCCGTATTTAAGGTTACGCATAAACCCAAGCTGGCTTTTCAGGCCGATCTTATAGACGTAATCTGTGTCAACCGATACTATGGCTGGTATATCGATATGGGCAAGCTGGACTGGATTAATCAGAGTGTCTATTGGGATATCGCTCTGTGGTCGGACAAGTATAAACGACCTATTTTGGTGACCGAATACGGTGCCGATAGTCTTCCGGGTCTGAATCAGGTGAGGCGATTATAATAACATTGTCAGTGAAATTAGCCAGAAGCACTCCTGTGGTGAGGTACTGCCGCCGCCTGGTGCTGGTGTGGCATAGGGGTCTTGCCCAATGTTAGAATACGTGAGGTTCAACGGAGTGATAAGGCGCCGAAATCCACTTCCGGTTAGCAAAAACGAAAGACTTATCGGCGGTGTTGAAAGGGGTGCAATAAGAGCGTGCTAGATATGATACCGTTATCGTTATCGCGAAGGGCTTACTAACCCTTCCGGCTGTAATAAAAATTTTGAATGCACAGAAACGACGAATACGATATAATAGGTGCTCAACAGCACGGGAGGGAACTAAGCCAAGCAACCAAGACTTATCGAGTGCGATAAGAGCGTGCTAGATATGATACCGTTATCGTTATCGTCCCGTTTTCATTCTGGAGTGCACCTCTTATCAAGCAGCCGCACCTTCTTATCTCATCGTATCATATCTTCCATGGGCTTACACTCGTCCAACAATTACTGCCTCACACCTTATCGATTGATAACGCGAGGGTAGCAAATCCAGCGTGGAAGCCAGCGTGATCGCTTCCTTTAATTCAATGCTATTCGATTTTTAAGAAGTGCATTTTATTTCACGGAATGAATTTTTGCGGAGCGCGCTACGTTACCTAGCAAGGTACAGTGGATATCCGAAAGTGGGGTGGGTGTGTCACCGGAAGTGACGTGCACTTGATAGAAGTGCGTGGATAAGCTGTTGCAGCATGCTTTGCTGATAGCCAGCGATGTATGTTGGAAGCAGCTCACTTACGTAGTTTCTATCAAGTGCACGTCACTTCCAGTGACACGCCTACCCCAACTCACCGATCGAGTATATCAATGGTTGTCATGTTCGGGGTTGCTCAAGTCCATTAGCTGCTGTCCCAGTTATTATTCGTCAGTCGAATCCTGATCTAGGCACAATTCGCATGCAATTCTGGCGATTTGGCCAATACACATCTGCACTTAAAGACCAACCCATCACAAAGTAGAAATAGTGGTTCTTTAGACTATTTGGCGGAGGTTTCAAAAAACCATTTTCAAGACATAAACACAGTGTAGGACAAATCACAAATCTGAACCCGGCCAGAAATATGGTCGTTATCAAGTGCCTAGTGCCTTGGAATAACACTACGACGATAGAGTATTGCAAGATTTGTTCACGAGGTTCAAGTTCACGAAGTGATTCGATTAATAACTAAACAGGTTGCACTTGTATGCCCCATCTGGTTACTTGAAGGTGCATTATCTAGCTAAATAATTGGACCAGGTTTTCTTGCAAGTAAAGTTCTGGGTCGCAGTCGCTGCGAAAACGCTACTGGTATGACTCGAAAGTTGTGTAAAGGGGGCAAGGAGCTGAAAACGTGCAACCAGAAAAACTTCAAATAGCCCGCTAGCCGCGCGTATCTGGTTCAGAACTGCTGTTTTGTTCGCGTCATGGGTCATTCTAAATCTGTCATGACGTCTGACACTGCCCCTATTCTAAATTATTTTCCCAGATTCTCACTGTCTCCAAAACTTATTATTAGGTGTATTATACGGAATTTCTTCTGATTTTTCAGTTGCACGTCAACTAGCACGCCCTGTTTCAATTTGAACCGCTTTGATGAAGAACGAAATTACAGGAGCCGTCTGTGGACTTTTCCGAGCAATATCAAAATGATCTCATCGTACGAACACATCATGCGTTTGACGCACTCCGTAGTGAACATCGGCTTGCTGGAGAAATGATATGGAACTTCGCCGATTTTATGACTGGCATGAGTAAGGAGTCATTTTCTAAATTCCATTACAAATCACTACCCATAGAGTTTTAAAAGTGTACGACCATCATCGAGGAGGCCCTCGACCTGCCATCAACGATGGATGGTGTCCATAGCGTCGTAGAACCTGGTTACTCACATACTTCAAAGTTCTGTACCCCCCCCCCCCCCACCACCACACCTCACAAAAATGAACTCCAAAAGTACGTCGAGCGGAGAGGAAGTGTACCCAGGGGTAGCCAAAAAAGACACACCTTACATCGTATTCAAATAGCAGCGGTCGCAGTCCGCTAAATCCAAACAGGATGCTTCCCCCAAGAATAGAGCTAACATTCTATCAGGAAACTTCATAATGTCCTTCTAGTCCCGACAACTCCAGAATTTGCCAAGGTACATGAGGCACAGTTCGCGTGAACATGGTCGAAGGATCGTAGGTCATTACAGCGTTACCCGAAGCGCCGGTTAGAAAGGGCTTGCTAAGACAGAGTTACCATCTCTAAGAAGCTATCCATCAGTCATTCGAATGAAGAAATCATGCAGCTGCTTCAGGCTGAAGCAATAACAGAGCTTGTTGAGATCGATAGCGAACGCAGATGACGTCATATCCTGGAGACGATGAGGGCAGTGACAGGAGCTAGCTTCTGCGTATGTAAAGACATTTTAGGAATACACTGCTAAAAAACCTCCACCGACCACGGCGATCTTAGCGGCTTAAAGCGTGCTGAAACGCGTCATAAAAAGTGTCTTTTTTCTGGCCATACCTGTATATCATTTTAAAGCAGTCGCAAAAATTTTTCATATTTTGATAAATAAAAATGTAGCAACTTCCCGAAAACTAAATCTTCTTCCATCCCATAACTTTCTTCGAATACGTGAGCCCCCATACCTCGAATCACATAGCAGGACCCTATTCCCCTACCTTCCCCCCCCCCCCAATTCTCGTTATGAGAATCGTACGATTAAACCGACTTAGGTCAATATTTACACTGCATTTCATCTATTGCAAGCCCATTTCAGCAACTACTCGAGCTGTGGGGAATCACAAAGGAGTGTTTACGAGAACACGACAGGCAAAAATGGCCGCTTATACACTAAGGAATCGTTACTTGTCGCTCTTTAACCAAACGGATTTGGAGATATGGAAATAGGCTTTTCATTTTCACTGCTGGGTTCATTTACACTGTATAAAGTACAAGTTCTTACTTAATATATTGTATAATTTTATCATTATGGTATGTAATGAAGCTTATGGAAACTCAATGCCCAAGCTGAATTGGATTAACAATTAATGGCTTCAAGGTTTCAGTACAGGATCGAAGGGCAAAGCATCCGTCGCTTTCGGGATCTGCCACGTATTCTATTCTTACTTGCATCTTAGAGGCGTTCAAACCCGTTACTGACTCATGAGCAGAATGGAGGAGCCAGTACTGAGACGTCCCCTTTCGATGTACTGTAGATATTGGGTTGTCCAGAAAATCCTGCGACACTTTGTCCAAGATTTTTGACTGTACCTTTTTTGTTGAATGGGATATTCAATCAGCACGGTTATCACCGGTAGCACGTAGGAGACGTGTACTTTTTCTGGGCAACTTCTCAACCCTCT